TGAATTTTATAATTAATATATTTTTCATATTAAGGAAAAATTGTTTATTTTTTCAGATCCATCCAAACCTATTTGTACTGATTAATTTGAGCCCAAATTCTATTGTTACAAATCAAATAATATTTATATTATATTTGTCAACATATGTTTTTGTGAACTACCATATTTCCATTTTCATCCAAAAGTAGGATACACAATTAATCCAATTCCAATTTATAACGATACATACGTACAATATCATTAAAAAGGAAACCTTATAGTATTTGTACAATTTGTACATCCAAATATCGTATGCATATTATGTAAAGTTATGATCGATAGTTTCCCGGAATTTTTGATCGATTTCTTGTCATTCATAAAAAAGGTTTAGGGCTTGGCGCATAAATTTTATTAATTTTGATCGATTTCATGTCGTTCATAAAAAAAAGTTTAAGTCTTGGCACATAAAAGTTCTTTTTTAGCAAAACAATGTTATTGCACATACAAATAAACCCTAATTTTTGTCCAGATATCAACTTATTAAGCTTTTCTATCAATTACAAAAGATAATTAATAAACTGGAGAGACTTGAATCATTCAAAATAATTTCCCGTTATCTACAAAATCTGTTTTTATTATCAATTCATTATCAGCTATATCAATCCACCACGCATATCGGTTTTGAGAGGTTCAACAGTAATTAATAATAAATAAATATTTGTGCAATTGCGAAATTGTTAACCAAAATTTGCAATGTAATTTACATAATGTATTACACGTACATAACGAGTAGACTGGTAGTTATTCCAAAGTGTCTTTTGTTTTTATTAAAGAATTCCATTTTTACCAGTAAAACTATTTTGAAAGTCACATGACTACCATTAATAGTATACGTGTGACTTTTCATATCACTATAACTACTTATATGTATCACACGATCACCGGCAGCCATGTTATTATGGCACGGTATGCAGAGTGTCTATCCAAAGGCTAGTTATTATTTTAGCAGACAAGTGAGTAGTACTGTAAGTAAAAAGAAGCAATGAATAAGTAGAACTTTTATAGTTCGGAAATAAATTTTCGTTTTAATAAGTTTAAATTCAATTTATAGTTAAGATCACTTCCATTTGTTTTATAAAGTAAATCACTTTCTTTATGGTTTATGGTCATTTTCTATTGTAAATACAAAAATCCTTTAAATGAATAATAAATATTTGTCGCGTAATAATGTTAGTGTTACAACTGCTATGCGCAGGTCAGAACTGGTCATAGCTCTGGATCTGATTTTATAATATCTCGAGATTAATTTGGTGCTATTTATATGGTCGAAAAGCTCTTAGAACACGGATAGTTGAAAGCTTTATGCATTTTAGATCTTTATTCTTTGATTTACCGCATCATTCTTATATAATGTACAAACAAACCATTCACTTTAACGTATTGTACACTAACTATGACTTATTTAAATTATTGCGCTTTTCAAATTACTGTGTCCACTGATTCTCATACACCACACCGGAAATCAGAAATCTAGAATAAATGCCAATACGTGATTGGCTAAAAATTATTTTCAACCAATCAGAGATTTGCACTTATTCTAGATTTCTGATTTCCGGTGTGGTGTATGAGAATCAGTGGACACAGTAATTTGAAAAGCGCAGTAATATCACATTAACTACTTGTATCATTGTTCAATTTATCTAAATAGTTCTTTATAATAATACTCAAAATTAATGTGTTAACCACATAAGCAAGTAATGCAATAAAATAAACTTCTTAATAAATTATTTAGTTAATTCGTTTTTCATAACCAAATATTTCTCAATTCTAAAAAGATATTATATGTAATTCTATTATGCTTAAGCATAATCTGTCATGCATAAAATTCTGATCGGTCATTTTTTTCGCATATTATTAATGCATATGCAACAAATTCATTTTTCATCTTTTTTTTTTACAACTTTCACGTACTTCCATGAAGTATCAATAACAACTATCACAACTAAGCTGCACCAGATATTCCTCTAAGAAAAATTTAAGAAATAATATAAATTGAATGGCAGATGTTACAGTTTTGACGAAGGCAACAGGTCTTAAATTCTTTGTGAAACATATATATTGAATTGTTCCTTCACTAAATCTTTGTAATATTATAGTTTATTTAATGTCGCACCATTGGAATATACATTGGAATATATTGTGATTATACATAAACATAAATAATTTGTGCCAAATTATTTCCTATATCGATCCTAGATTATTATCCTTGTAAAAAATGTGTGCTCACACGCGTTCATAATTTTTCATGATTAAGAAAAAAACAGTAATATAAATAATGTTATCTTAAAAATTACACATTTATCAATTCTTCTCTTTTATAATTTCTATTGTATATAATATATAGACTACAAATATGTCAAAATTTTAATTATAAAAACCTTCAAATTCCACTTTTCATTTTCTCCTGTCCTCAATTCGTAAACCTTTCAAGCTCCCATACTATCATTAATTCCGTTCCTCCTCTTTACAAACCTTTCAAAAATGAGGTTTAAATCATTGTCAGTGGCTCTTTTGCTATTATTAGCAAACGTCCTCTCTACCTCTGCACAAAGTTCTAAACGTCCTCCTCCTACTACTGGAGGTGCTAAACGTCTTCCTGCTACTACTGGAGGTGCTAAACGTCTTCCTGCTACTACTGGAGGTGCTAAACGTCTTCCTGCTACTACTGGAGGTGCT